TGATGCCAGTCAGACTGAGCACACATGGGTCAAGTGCAGGTTAACCTGTTTGGGAAACTTGAGACTCACCACAAAGTTACAAGCTATGCAAATTGAGGTGTGAAATATAATGGAAATGATATTATTACAAAGAAAAGGGAATGCAGCAACAGCAAAGACTGGGAAACTACTGGGTGAAGCCGTTGGGAGGCGACTATGGCACAAGACCACATTAATAACTGTGAAACTTTAACTTCCTTTTATGCTTACTGTATTTCCTGTATTTAGTGTGATAAAATACATTTAAGCCATTCACATATTAAAGGCCTGACCTGCAACATAGTCTATTATTTGCTACTGAATCAACCAGAGGGTAAAGCAAAGTGATGTTAAAAGCTAAGGTTGAAAGTTAAAGTTAGACAGACATTATATCTACCTTTCAGCATTGCTAACGTGTCCCACATTGTCCCACACAAGCATACACTTTGTCCCATATTTTGTTGGGATCTTGTCACCCTGGCAATGAATCAACCTCTCAGCTTCCCATAACTTATACCCTACTGCTGCAGTATAAAGGCCTCTCTTGTGGAGTTTGGCCACATTTGTAAAAAGGGCTCATTTGCCAAGAGATACTTCACAGGCACCACATAGTTTCCTTGTCTGTTGTACATCACTACATAGGGAGCATTAGGAGATTTTATACTATTCAAAAGTAGTTCAGTTTGACATAGGTTTTTAATCTAGATTTCAAATCTATCTTTTTATTAAGGCTAGAACAATTACCCCAACCACAATACCAACGTGGGTCATTAATTTATGCCTGCTTGTGGTCTTCAACAGGATGAGTGTGGGTGTGAAGTCACAGTATACCACTGCCAAATGTCCCATAAGCACGATTCAGTTTTGCACTGACATGAAGTTTGATATACATTGTTTTCCTCATTGTGTGTGTGTGTGTGTAAATAGTATGTACTCAATGAACTGTGAATTCTTTCTACATTGTTTAGTGGGAATGCAGACATTGAGCCCATAACAATTCGTGAAAAGAATGTTTGTGGTTTTGAAAAAAACCAAACCATAATATGGAGTACATAAATCACAACATAAGACAGAACAAAAAAGGCCTTATTAATGTTTACTGCAGCGTGAGTTGCTCAATCCCAGCTTGAAATAGTGTGGCTGGTTTTATATATTGTTTCCTTGTTCAACGCAATGGCTCATTAAAACATCTCCAACATGATTGATTTGTCCCTTGATGAAAAAAACATCCAATAGCCATATGGGGCAGATAGTAGGAAGTTTAATAAGACCTCACATTGTATTTCTTGTTGGTTGTTTCACAAAAATATGTCTTCATTAAAATCTGCGGTTTGGTTGATGGTGGCAACAGCTGTGGGTTCAATCATCTATATAATCAGTATAATCACGTCATCTTCATCTTCCACATTTTTATGGCGCGAAGACACTGGAGTGCAGACCAGTGTGTTGATACTAATTGAAATGAGAATATCCAGCCTCATATATCACATCAAGTGTAACAGTTGGATCTCAATCTTTTGAGATCTTTCATATCCTGTTGAAACTGAAAGGCTAGTTTAAAGAATCTTGGAGGACTTTAATATGAGAAGCTGGCATCAAGATGATCTATGTACTGAAAATACAGAACTGTCATTTAATATATAAGTAGAGAGAAATACTCT